AGATGTCTGTGAGTTGGTTTGGCTGTGGCAGTTTGAGAGCCTTGCAATGCTTGCATGCAGCTGCATGCTTTCCGTTTGGAGATAATGACGGAGGGATTGGGGAGTGGAAACGCACCATTTGCCCCTCCACATTGGATGTCTTGAGCAGTTGGATGCAGGTATGACCATTTGGTTAGTTACGAGGTGAACATACAATGACTATCTCACCACACATTCACCCAAATGGATTGCAAATGGCAGCATCCTTGCGGAAATGCTGGAAGTCCGTTGAACGCAACAGCATGACCGATGATTCCTCTGGAGGCTTGTGCTTATCAAAGAAGCGAGAAGAATTAATCAGTCGTCTTCTTGTATTTCAGTTCCAGGGCTCGTTAGCATAGCTCCCTTGCAGTGATAGCATATCCAGTAATGTGGCAATTGAAATACTGAATAAGGAAGGCTGACGTGCTGATCTTGGTAGGTGCACGTTGTCGATCCTTCACTTCTTCCATAGTTTCGCACTGATATTAGGCGGTATCGTATAAACAGTTTCAAGGTTGAATGTCCACATTTTCGCAAATGCTTCTCTCCAAGACCGGTGTGGAGTAAAGAGGGAAGGAATGTTGTTGAAATGTATTTCCTCTCATGCCAGGTCCAGAACTCATCAGCCTGACTCCAAAAGGTCACACGGAGGTGGATGTAACAATGACTGCGCGGACGGATTGGGATAAAAAGGACGTGCTTGTGGCATACGTGGCAGGAGCGGCGGAGGCGAAGAACTGCATTCAATATAACGATACCATGGAGTGCATAATCGGTGGACTGTTGCCGCGCATTCCCTACAACGTGTGTGCACGATTCTGTCACTCGAATGCGACAGCCACGACAGCTGTGTCAGACTCCTCCGGGGGCGCTCAACTCTCGTCAAGTGTTGATCTTTTTCGGATCGGCACAGTTGAAGCAAACGACGCGTTGATTTGCAGCAACGCTGTGTGCAGTAGTGTGACGATACCCATAGAAGGTGAGAAATGGTGGATCATTGCCTAAAATAGGGATTGTGTTTGGTGAATAATGGGTAATGGTATTTTGCATTTTCTGTATCACAAAGGGATGAGTAGAAGGCGTTGACTCGTATGAAGTGGTGATTTCGTTGATGTCGTAGGTGGTTTGTTTGTGTTCATCGTCCGTTTGTTGCTTCCCTTTTGGAGTCTCGCTCTCTGTTAGTGGTACTTTGCACGGAAGCGGAGGAGGAGGGTGAGGAGGATGTTATTGCAGTGTCGAGACGGTAGCATTGGCACACCCTAGGGAGCGTCACATGGTGCAACGCAGGCAAAACGGTTTGTGTGGATCACCCATTGACAAGGCAAATCCTCACGGGATGGAGGTTACGGCCACTGCGAATGGTTAGATATTCAAACAAACGCTT